CTCGTCAGTAATATATCGAAAGATACAAGACCACCTAGGCGTGTATCACACATGGTACATAACTGATTTACACACACACACACACACAGACACCCCCGATGTACAGTTTTTATGAGCTTACGTAGATAAAAGCTACCAGACGACTTTTAACTTAATTCTTCTCAATGACATTGACTGAATTTTTTGTCACTAAAAATAATCCAAAATTTACTCAACCCTAACGACTACAGATACTTCCTTTCTAGTGCATATGTTACCAATCCAGTTGGACTTTGAAATGTTTATGTTCATGAGAATCCGTATCAGCAACAATATTAGCTACAGTTAAATGTAATTGATCTACATACATACATATTTAAGCGTGTGTAGGTGGGTAGGTGCGTTTCTGAGCGTGTCTGTTCGCGTGTTTGACATTACATAATTAGAATACGACACCAGCATAATACGTACAGCTTGACATTCAACTTGGCCGTCTCGGATCGCTGAGCAACAAGTGAAACAAATTTCTATGTGCGTAAAATGTAAATAAACAAAGAAGGGAAAATACAAGTCAGCGTCGAGTTCCATATTGGAATGTACGCACAATGCTCGTTGTTATGGGAAGCTGTCGTTCTGAAAACGCACGGTAGGAGTCGTAGACAGTGAAGATCAATGGATTGCAGCTCGAATTATCCATGTTTTACTGTGGATGATCTAGCGATTAAAGCACTCTCTAAATATTTCCGTTTTAGCGAAGTGTTTTCTCTTTTAATTAGAGTAACATTTTTTTTGTGTCTGAATTGTGGTCATTCTCGCTACGGTGAGGAAATAATGTGTCTAATACGTTTAAGTAGGAAACAGAGTAGATGTTGACCTCAGTGTCAACTTTTATATTTGCATAAGCTCTGTCACTCTTATGGAGAACTTTAACTCATAAATATATCACACCTTAAAACTATATTTTATCACAAACATGTACAGACACACACACACACACAGAGACATACAGACATACAAACACGCACCCTCCACACACACACACACACACACACACACACACACACACACACACACACACACATATATATATATATATATATATATATATATATATATATATATATATATACTAGCAGTAGAGCCCGGCGTTGTCCGAGGATGTAACAGTAAGAGATAGATCAAGTATCGACCATCATAAAGACTGAAAGATAAAATTGACAAAGATTATTGTTTAAGGTTGACGGACACGCATGTCTTAATTAGTTTATTTTTTTGTTTTTTGTTTTTTGGGGTTTTTTTTACGAATCGGTCAAACCCAAACTCAAACAAAAACATTGTTTTCAATCGTTATGAGTCTACCGATTGAAAAGAATTTTATTATAAACAATTGTCTTGTAAATGAAATTTTTAAAGCATTCTGGATGTAAAAATAAAGAAAAAAAGTGTGCAGGACAATAAGAAACACAACCTACCAAAATAAAAGTGAAGTTTTGTTGAAATCGGTTGAAAAATGTAGGAAATCCGATCCCATATATAAACGAACACACACACACACGCACACAAACAACTTGGGTTTTATAATAAGTATAACTCGATATGAATTGTCCCCCTTTCATTCTCGCGACACCAATGCCTCTTAATCGTGTTTCAAATTGATTTCGTGCAAAAACAATTGTGTTTTTCCAAATTTTGGCGCTGTCAGAACCACCGCAATGTAATTTTACGTAGTCCTGTGAAGTTTTGTTGAAATCGGTTGAAAAGTGTAGGAAATCCGATCCAATATATAAACGAACAGACACACGTACACACAACCTGGGTTTTATAATAAGTATGATATATATCAGAGAAAAAAATCCAAAATTCTCTCATGTGGGCATAGCCTATTTCAAACCGGCCCCTCATTGCACAAGTCCTCTTCTGCCTTGGACTGAATTCGTCACGGAATCAGGAATTTGGAATTTAATTTAGATAACAATCAAGAAAATATACAAACCTCCCCAAAATGACGCCTCATCTAGATAAAGAGCCTGAGTTGCTGGTAAGGTGAGGGCGTGAAGTACCTCTCTAAAGGGAGAATGATCGCTAGAATCGATCCTGATATCTACTTTAAGTTGGTGTTATATGAAGAGAGAGATGATCAGTTATAATATTTGATATTACTAGTATCCACCTGGATTATATACCTATATAGATTGTATCTATTACCTGTACTATATATATATATATATATATATATATATATATATATATATATATGTGTGTGTGTGTGTGTGTGTGTGTGTGTGTGTTATATGTGTATGTGTTTGTGTGTTATAAGCATTTTTATTTATATTTAAATAAGCAGGTATGAAACGTATTTATTACAAAAAGTCTCAAAATAGAAGGACCTAAAATATATTAAAATGATTATTTAAAGTTGCGAATATTATTTTATATTAAACTAAATATGAATTAGTTTTTTTTTTATATACATATTTTCAGAATAATTCGTCATGTGTAAACCTAAAATCCTCAACACGTACACATGCCGAAAAACCAGTGGCGTGCAAAGGCGGCGGGTGGTGACGGGGCGGCGGCCTTGGGCGATATTCCGTGGGAAGCGGCACATCCGATGGAGTATATTATTTTTGCTGCAACAAAGGCAGCGATAAGAAAGAAAATACACCTTTTTTGTTTTTATTTATCAATTAAACTTAAAATTAGATATTAAAAATGAATAAAATAGTTTTTAATTTTAGTTTTAAAATGTCTATATTTGGCTACTGGTACCTACTTGAATTCAAAGTTTTTTCCCAACTGCATGAGGATTCCAAGACTTTGGCGTCAGTTCTTTCATTTTGATTTTTCATATCTGTGAACTGATAGTGAAAAGAAAGTTCAAAAGATATAAAAGGTTGGCTGCGGCGATAGAATGCCATAAAATCAAAGACTACTTGAAAATTGATTATTATTGAAACAGTTACATTTTCATTGTCGTAGTGTCAACTTCTTTCAGACTAAAAACTGAGGAAAATTGACGTCAACATAAATGTAAATACATTTTTCGGATAATTTGCAGTGTAAGCCCCGCAAATAATTCTAATGAAAATTTCCATTTAGCTGTAACAGTAAATTTCTGCAAAATTTTACAGTAATTTTCGAATTCAGCATATAAATTTACGCCTAAATGGAAATTTTCATTAGAATTGAGCGCATCACGGACCATCGGCATACAAAAATATCTCATTTTTCTTTTCTTTTTTAGGAGAACTATATTTTAAAAATATTATGAAATTTAAAACGTGTTTTTTTAAAAAAAAAAAAAAAGAAAAATAGATTTTTTTTTTATTAATCTTTGTTTCATATTTAAAATTATATTTTTAATGTAATGTGAAATTTTTAAACTGATTTCTTTATAGAAGTAGACCTTTCTTTCAATTGTAGGGATATTTGTATTTTCTTGCCCATTTCGCTTGGTATTCAGCCAAATTTTGATAAAATTTATTGTTGGTCTTAATTGTATTTCTTGTCCTGGAATAAAGTTATGATTTAGTTTTTAAAGTGATGAGAATCTAACTTTAATTCAATTGCTGGCGACCATTCCTTTTGCTTTGTTTTATTCTTGCGCCCAAAATATGCCAGACGACGTTTTTACTTAATTCTTCTCAATGACATTGACTGAATTTTTTGTCACTAAAAATAATCCAAAATTTACTCAACCCTAACGACCACAGATACTTCCTTTCTAGTGCATATGTTACCAATCCAGTCAGACTTTGGAATGTTTATATTCATGCGTATCCATATCAGCAACAATATCAGTTATGGTTAAATGTAATTGATCTACATACGTACATATTTCAGGGTGGGTGGGTGTATAGGTGCGTATCTGCTCGCGTGATTGACATTGCATAATAAAAATACGACTCCAGCATGATGCGTACGACTTATGTCAAAATGCGTACAGGTTGGGCTTCAACTTGGCCGTCTCGGATCGCTGAGAGAGTGAAACAAATGTATGTGCCCGTAGTGATCTTAAATGTAAACAAACAGAGAAAGGAAATTACAAGTCAGCGTCGACTTTCATATTGGAATGTACGCACAATGATCGAATAGTAAAATTAATTTTCGACATCATTAGGCTAGGAAAATATTTTTATAGATTTAGATTAAGAAATAAGAGAAAACCTATAGTTTTTAATACAAACAGTATAGGAAACCAAACGTCTTCCAACAAAACTGATATTAACGTTCCCAAGGACTTTTCATATTCTAATCTAATTTTGTATGGAGATGGAAACCCATCAATAAAAGCAGTTTATTTCCCTGAATATAAATATAATGTTTCGCTGCAAATGTTAAAATATCTGGCATGAACTATGTATTACATTAGGAAAGATATAAATGAAGTCGGGAAGTCTTGAGGTCGTGTTTTAAAAAAGCCGAATCAAAGCATGTTCAGGGCAGATGGTTGACAGAAGAAAAAAAGGAAAAAAATCGAAGCAACAGAAGAAATTGAATTATCGTACCAGGAAATGCCGCTTGATATCGAAAATTGTTTAATGCCGGTGATAAACAAAAACAAAGCGGGAAGCAACAAAGAGAAAATTGTCAAGGCGCTTAATGGAAAGCGATAACTACAACAGATGGAATATTTAAATCAGAGTTAATTAAACAAAATGGATTTAAGAAAACGTCAAAAAAGAATCCCATTATCAATAAAGAACAAAGATAATATTAGTTGTTTTTTTTTTGTTGTTGTTGTTTTGTTTTTTGTTTAGCGATATATCAACCTGTATGGATTATTTAATCCCGAAATCTAAATATTTTTACGAAATTTTATTTTTTGGAGATAATAATGGTTTTATGGATAAAAGTATTACTAATTAATTTATAGATGGGGACAGAGGCGGTGGATTCATTTCTTTCTCAAGTGTATTTGCAAGTAAGTCAATATAACCAATCCAACTAGATTTGGAACTTGGCTCTCCGATTAACAATTCCGAACCATTATACATTACACCACCCACACATACAAGCTTATGGCACTTGGTATTACGAACTGGTTACCCATCTAGGTACAGACCAAACTCAACGTTGCTTAACTTCGTTGATCGTATGGGAAACGGTGTTTTAACTTGATGTGACCGCAAGCGCTAATACTGATAAGTCAAAGCATAAACCTGACAGAACTAATAAATTTCAAATCCATACCCATTGTGAGAAGTTAGGGATTATTCTTAATCTTGACTGGACAAGGATTGAGAAATTTTGATCTAAGAACATGAATTTGTTGACGATGCATAAAAAATGCATGATATAAAAGTTGTATGAAATCGATTAAATCAACAGAAAAGACGATTGCGTCGATGTTTCTATCAAGAGATATAATAGCGAAAGAAAAGCAAAAATATGCCAAAACATTCAATTATATATTGTACAAGAGGTGGAGAAAGTTCCAAAACATGTAGCCAGACAATGGAAAAAACAGATGTAAATGACAGGAAGATCCAATGGGAACAGGGCATAGGACGGAGACTCAGTTCAAAGTTAGTTCTATGCATGAGCCAAAATACGCCAGAGAAAATTTTAAAAATATCTAAGGGAACGTTGAAATCCATACAGCTTCAGAAAATCTTGGTTAAAATGCCAGACATAGAAAATGTAGAAAAGGAAAAAAAGAAAACAATTCGGAAGCCTTCGAAGGTTTGGGCTAGAAGGAAGTCACAAGGTGAGTCTAAAAGTCTTTGTAAAATGTCGCTTTTTATCACTGTTCGAAGTTATTAAAATGCATATAAAAAATATTTCAATTTCAAAACAAATGAATCTGAAAGTCTTTATAAAAATTTCGCTCTTCGGTTAAAAATTGACGAACCTATGGCGAACAGGGTCCTATCCTTAGTCACCAATTGATATAAAGCTTTTGCCTACCGCCTACTTCAGGTGGTGTAACATTTACTGATCCGGTCATCAGGGACTTAGGATGACGTTTTAACCACTAAGTCAATGCTGCCGCTGGTCCAAGCTGGTTGTTGGTTGCGGGTCGCTTCGATACACACCAACTCTGCCCACGTTGTTTTCTTGATCTCAGAACAGTGGAAGATCGAATGTCGTCGTAATAGCAGCGCTGGTTCAAGCCGTGGCAGGTGGTATATTAAGAAAAAAATTTTCACAACGAAAAAGTAAATCGAAAAATTCATGGGGTTAATCTTCACTTGGTTTATATAGCTCTTGGTACAACAAAAAAATAATTCCTTTTCTTTGTTCCTTATTTCTGCTTTCTGAATCCAACTTCCAAATTTGGAGAATTATCTACTTTTCTTGAAAGTAGTCACAAGAATTACTCCAACCCGCTTCCCTTCAAATATCGCAGCACCACTCCACACATTTTTGCCTCTTCCTCCCTCCTCCTCCGTATTCTAACTCTTCCCACCTATCAGGGTTGACATAACTATCTTTGTGGCAAATCTAAAGTGCGGAGCTGAAGGGATGCAGTTCATTCTCCTCATTAATTTCAATTCTCTGACCCCTTAAACATCACTACTATTACCTCCGTGCAGCTAGCACGCAGACCAGATCATTGCTACTCATTTTACCCTTCCGAGCAATAAATAAAATTATTTCCTAATTTGTATTTGTTAACGTAAATATATTTTATTAACTAAATTCTCAACAAAGAGATACGCTGTTCTCGATCCTGACGCTGATCGCTATATTAGGGAAAACATAAACCAGACTACTCAACTGTTAAGATTGGATCGATTTTCATAATCCTAACCATTGTAGCGGGTTCATTCCGTGGTTTCATTTCTTAGTTCGTCTTCGCCAAGGAAAATATAATTTCCGTCTGCCGCTCTTTTCACCAAGGACATGTGTTTTTCTAATTTTCCAATTAGCTTTACCCGCATGCCAGATCTTCGATAGATAAAAAGGTAAACTCATGCTGTATCGTTCCCATTCATAGAGGTGAGGCAATCCAGATTGCCTTTTATTTTCACTTCCACATTACTAGTGAAAATGTCTTTCATTCCAACTATCTTCCACTTTATATTTCATTTTGGGCTTAACACTTTTTCTGCTCAAAATTAACATTTAACCACCAAATATTTCAGTTTCGAAACAGATGAATATAAAAGTCATTGTAAAAATGTCGCTCTATTCCTTTGTTCAAAATTGTTAAAAGGTGCATAGAAGAAAATATTTCAGTTTCAAAACAAATAAATCTATGTCTTTGTAAAAAAATATCGCTCTTTTCTTCTTATCGAAGTTGTTAAAATGAATATAACAAATTATTTCAATTTCAAAACAGATGGATTTAAAAGTGTCTGTAAAAATGTTGCTCTTTTCCTCAGTTCGTAATTATTAGAAAATGCATTTCGATAGTTATTTTTCGTTTTCAGTTTAACCATAGGTACGACAACCTGAAACTGCCTTTATATATTAGAAGAGGAATTACTATTATTATTCAAATTTAGAAATGCTCACATTATTTATTTCGTTTCTCATGTTAACTCAAAGGCAGCGAAGCAAAACATGAAATTAAGGGTAAAGAGAAACTCCCACAAAACATTCCTATAAGTGTTAGAAAATCAAAGTGTAAAGTACATACCGTTTACTGTAAACAACTATATTTTATGATAATAGTGTAAAATGGCTTCATAGAAAGCGTAAAAGGGCGTAACACAACGATATGTCTTCCCTCCAGATTTATTCAATCTCTAAAGTGAGGCTACGCTAAGAGAACTGAAAACCCATCGACGATGCATTATTTGTGGGTTTAATTTTAATAATATAAGATAAATCTGTGTTAATGTCAGACACAGAAAAAAAAAACTAAAGAACTTTCTAGACATTGTAGTTAAGGAAAATGAAAAAAAGGAATAGCTATCAACTGCATGAAAACTGAAAATATGAGTGATTTGCTTAAAAAAAAATATAAATTTTCGTAAGAATCTGATGTACAAACAAAATGTACTTATTTGTAGATATAATTTCAGGTTTAGGACATCATCATTCATGGCATTTATAGATTCTTCAGATAATGTCCATAACATGTTTGATTGATTTTTTTTTTACTAATTATCGGCTAATATAAGGTCCTAGAGGCACTCTAGGTAGAGGGTTACGGTGAGGAGTTGTATTAGCACAGGAAAGGACAAGCGTTAGGAATATAGAGTTGAAGTAGACTTTAGTAGGAACCTAAAACCCAATTCTAAACAAGAAACAAGGGATAAATCTCTTCTCACAGTTCGAAAGACCTGGAAAGAGTTAGAACCGGACAATATGTAAATCTATCTACGCCAAGAAAAGCATAAAATAAAATAAATAATTAGTAAATAAAATTTCAGAGTTCAGGAGCAGACGTTAGAAGTACAGAGACGAATTAGTCTTTACAAGGAACCGGAAATCCAATCCTAAACAAGAAAATTCGTTTTTTTTTTGTTTTTTTTGTTTTTTTTAATTTTTGGGTAGGTTATTTAAAGACAGAAAATATTTTCAGATTATAAGAATTTTTTTAGAGATCATAATGTTTCAGTGGTACAATTCTAAATAATTAACCCATTTGGGTGGGGAGAAGTGATGGATTAATATCTTTCCCAATGGTATATGCGCGTAAATGAATATAACAAACCCAATGGGAAGTAGAACTCGGTTCTCCGATCAACAATTCCGAGCCGCTAACCATTAGACCATCCACACCTACCAGCTTACACCACCGTGCATTCTCTAGCGGTCACGCGTCTAGGTACTGACCAGGCACGACGTTGCTTAATTTCGTGGTCACACTTAGACTCCTATATGGTTGCCATGCCTGGCGCGCTACTCGTTCAGAAATGTTTAAGCTATCAACCATATCAACCTATTCTAAAAGTTTTCTCAGCTTTCTGCGGCAAGACAGAAAAATGGATACGTCAACGGCGTAAGCGGAAACCCTGGCTCCAGCCACTTCCAGCGAGACCTATTCCGTGTAGGATCGGCCTGCACGCCCTGTGGCGCAAGAGAAGCATAAATGACAAAGCATAAAGTTGGAGCGACAGTCGACAAGTCTGAAGAACCGACTGTGATGGTACAAAAGCACTCGAACGTTTCCTGTTTAACTGTACCACCGCACTGGGAGAGCGATGCAGCAGGCAAATACACTTGCAGAAGTCGTTATTGGATCCGGCGGCCAGCAGGACAGCCGCCAAGTACTGGTAGTCGAACTTGGTCCACATGTCCAACGTTTGGTCATCGGCCCAGTATCTATCGACGAGACCAAGCTCGTATATCAGATCGACCAAGCTACGATCACACCATCTCCCGCTAGTTATCCGTCTAGTTTAGGATCCAGGATGGCATTTCAGTATCCCGTTAGACAAGGCGCAGCGGTTTCATGAAGAACGGCCCCGACTGACTGAGTTTGGCCAATGGGCGCAATAAACTGCAACGACCCGAAACGAACTACTTTTCATGGAATGTCGGCCACGACCAACTGCACCCTCACATCGACATAGACAAAATCTATCCTCGCATCCATGGTACGCTTCAACATCTGTATACTGAATAGACAACAAAGTCGCAAGACAACAAACGAACATCGACGTCGCAAACGAAGCGGGTTGCCTAGATCCACACCTAATGACAGAATATCACGAATCTGGCTGGCAGACTTACGCAAGTCCCTTTCATTCAAACATGACAACTTGATCGCCATTTTCTAGCCCCTATGCACAGACTGGGCAAATATCTGCGGGAGACAAGACACCAAGAGATTGTCCTAGGCTACCAGAATCCATGTCAGACATAACCCAACCGCCCTTAATAATCCCGTTGACGTCTGTAGGGAAGGTAAGTTTTATCGCCCTTTATAAGGAGAGGAGGAGTAAAACAGCACTCCCCTCCTCTGGATGAGAGAAATGGCGGAGCTCTAGTTGGGGAAAATTTTGTGGGTGCTGCAGGATCAGTTCTTGTCACTGAAGTAACGGCAGATTTGGTCTTGGCTTGATGCATGATCTTTTCTGCTCTGCTTCGGACAGATTTTCTCTTTTTTTCTTTCTAGCCAATAAGATAGGCCACATCTCGGTCTCATTCGAGTCAGTCCTGTTCTTTATTGTCGTGAATCCATTGTGGGTTAACACCATTATTAGTTTGTGGACTTTTGTGCCATTTTACTG